ATAAATTATTATATTAAATGCAAAAATTATGTATAAATTAAATATCAATGATTTCAAAACAATGAAAGAGAAAATGTTGTACAAATGTTGTACAAGTAGGCTACAATTTCATAATTGTTTAAATTTGAATTTGGTGATATGAAGTGTTAAATATAATTATCCCAATGCTAATAATGTTTAATGACTTTTAACTGAGTTATTTTCATTAAAAATTGAAATTCTTATATATAAAATAAATTGATATATTAAACAGTTTTCATGGAATTTAATTAAACAGGATTAAAAACAAGTTTATACATATGTTTTTAGTCTTGAAAATAAAAATATTTATCTTTTAAATTAGTAAACATTTTAAAGATAATGTGTGAAATTAATTCACAAATACACGAAAAACATTAAAAATATGTTGCTGCATTGATGTAGCCTGCTTTTATGTCTCCTTAATACTAAATCATTTTTAATAAAATAAATGTACATTTTAAAAACAAAATTTGAAGTTTAAAAATGATAAAATTTTCAAAAATTTCATTAGACATGTTTAATTCTTTTTTTCTTTTGCGTCTTTAATCATGTACTGCCAAATTTCAACAGGTTTAAATGACTTTATAAACAATACAATAAAATTTGAGTGCCTTTTGCAAATTCTTCAGCGTATAATAATTAGTTTCAGCTTTCAATTAACGAAAAAAAAAATCAACTGACTATTCTAAATTACAAATACTATTTTTCAATTGTGATAATAAACTTAATTATAATTAAGCTATTTATACACTTTTTATACTGCATCTATAATTTGAACTTTTGTATTATCTGAATAATAAATTACAATGGAGAACTAACAATGCGCAATTTCATTATTCATATTGCAATGATTGTAATTTATGAATGGACCTAATTATAATTTCTTCGATTTTCTGAGATTACTTAATAGTAGTATTGTTTTCGTTACGTTGTATTTTTTCCCCTCTCTTTAATATTTAATTGCTGTTTTTCTTGGTATTGTTTTTGATTTTAATTAATATTCGTGATATTAAAAAGTATATCACGGTCTCTTTATATTTTAAAGTAGAACTACAATATAGCTAAAGTAAAACTGTAATATTAACGGTTTAGAATTATAATTTATTGCACGTAATGTATTAATTCTTAGATGATTGGATTGCCTTCAAAAGTTTTATTATGAGATTAAATACCCGAAAATTCTTTGTATTAACGCGGTGAAATGTTTACAAATATTTTTATATCAGTTTGTAACGTTACTATAAATTCCCACATAAAAGAGTTTATATAAGCTGTTATAAATGAAGAATTGGGATTACGTCATGTATTTTAGACGTGCATTATGTGACCCTTATTCAAATAGGATTATTATTGTATTTTCCCATTTCCGGTACAAGTACCGGAAGTAACCGGGGGACTCCGCGAGGGATTATGCAGTAAAAACCTTAATTTGGTTGAGGCCAGTGAACTTGATGAATCAAACATGTGGCCATGATATACTTACCACAAAGCCCGTTCTCTCCATTTGTGACCAAAAAAATGTACCTTGACGAGTTATATCACGTGATCTCTCTTNATTTTTTTAATCACTTTTTTATATTTTTTAAAGTTTTATATAAGAAAATTATAATAAATGTAAAATCTATTTCGAATAATTTACTAATACTAAGAGAGCACTATTTAGAATTCTTCATGCTTGGATTATAGAGTATTGTAATTTAATAAATTGAAAAATAATGAATAAAAACAATTATTAAAAACTAAATTTATTTACCGAGTTTTGTAAAATCATTGAATGCAACTTTTCTTTTCTCGTCTACTAAACAATGTTATAATCGATTAAAATCGATTTAATGGCTAATATACTTTAGCAAATTTTTGAAATTGTAACGAGTTTCAAAAGCAAAACATATCTCATTCGTAAAGTTTACAAAAGTTAATTTAATTAAAATTATTTTTTCTTATTAATAACATATTTTTATTTTGTCATCCATAAAAATTTTCCATTGAAGTAAAAATATTTTTATTTACACGAATCTTTAATACCAAACTATAATAAATATCAATTTAAAGTATATAAACTTTGAATTGTAAAATCGTGTATTATATTTATACTATTTCACTATAAAATTAGAGTAACAAAAATTGAAATGTGTGTATAAATAGACAGCAATATATTTTAGCAACTTTTCATTTTTAAATTTGTCTACTGAGAATAAGGGAATTTTTCTAGAAATTCTCAAAATTGCTATAGAATAATCTACCTAAATTAAAAAAAAAAATACCATATCAAATTAGTTTTCTTGACAATAATTTTATTTTTACAATTTTACTAGTGAGTGAGTACGTATTTTTTTAACCCATTAAATGCTATTTTAGGACAGAAATATTTTGCTCTAATAAAACTAGAAATAGCGTAAGATATATCAAAATTAGGACACACAATAAAAATATAGGTGTATAATACGATAATGCAGCTGAATCTCATCCAATAATATTTAACAGTAGTAATGGCGATGCCATGTTTTTTTGAAATTAAAAATGATAAAAAAATATATTTATTTTATATTTTAAAATATTATNAACAGTTTTCATGGAATTTAATTAAACAGGATTAAAAACAAGTTTATACATATGTTTTTAGTCTTGAAAATAAAAATATTTATCTTTTAAATTAGTAAACATTTTAAAGATAATGTGTGAAATTAATTCACAAATACACGAAAAACATTAAAAATATGTTGCTGCATTGATGTAGCCTGCTTTTATGTCTCCTTAATACTAAATCATTTTTAATAAAATAAATGTACATTTTAAAAACAAAATTTGAAGTTTAAAAATGATAAAATTTTCAAAAATTTCATTAGACATGTTTAATTCTTTTTTTCTTTTGCGTCTTTAATCATGTACTGCCAAATTTCAACAGGTTTAAATGACTTTATAAACAATACAATAAAATTTGAGTGCCTTTTGCAAATTCTTCAGCGTATAATAATTAGTTTCAGCTTTCAATTAACGAAAAAAAAAATCAACTGACTATTCTAAATTACAAATACTATTTTTCAATTGTGATAATAAACTTAATTATAATTAAGCTATTTATACACTTTTTATACTGCATCTATAATTTGAACTTTTGTATTATCTGAATAATAAATTACAATGGAGAACTAACAATGCGCAATTTCATTATTCATATTGCAATGATTGTAATTTATGAATGGACCTAATTATAATTTCTTCGATTTTCTGAGATTACTTAATAGTAGTATTGTTTTCGTTACGTTGTATTTTTTCCCCTCTCTTTAATATTTAATTGCTGTTTTTCTTGGTATTGTTTTTGATTTTAATTAATATTCGTGATATTAAAAAGTATATCACGGTCTCTTTATATTTTAAAGTAGAACTACAATATAGCTAAAGTAAAACTGTAATATTAACGGTTTAGAATTATAATTTATTGCACGTAATGTATTAATTCTTAGATGATTGGATTGCCTTCAAAAGTTTTATTATGAGATTAAATACCCGAAAATTCTTTGTATTAACGCGGTGAAATGTTTACAAATATTTTTATATCAGTTTGTAACGTTACTATAAATTCCCACATAAAAGAGTTTATATAAGCTGTTATAAATGAAGAATTGGGATTACGTCATGTATTTTAGACGTGCATTATGTGACCCTTATTCAAATAGGATTATTATTGTATTTTCCCATTTCCGGTACAAGTACCGGAAGTAACCGGGGGACTCCGCGAGGGATTATGCAGTAAAAACCTTAATTTGGTTGAGGCCAGTGAACTTGATGAATCAAACATGTGGCCATGATATACTTACCACAAAGCCCGTTCTCTCCATTTGTGACCAAAAAAATGTACCTTGACGAGTTATATCACGTGATCTCTCTTTGTGCACAAACATTACCTGACCCAACTTGTCAAGGAGAGTAGGAAAAGTTCACATTCATTTGCGTTGGGCTACCGCCTCATTCCGTCTTTTACAAATTATTATTCTAGATAATTTGGTAAGTTATTTAAATTTATAAATACAGCCTATATATGATAATATATAGCCTATATAGTGATAAATAAATAAATAAATAAATAAATATATTTATTTATCACTTAAAAATAATTAGTGTTATTAGTATATAACATATATATAAGTAACAAATAGCCAATTGTAGATGTTCTATATGATCAAATGAAGAGTGGATTCACCCACTAATAAATAATTTATATCACCATTTTCCTGACAATTGTCACGTACAGAACTGTATCTTGTACACTATATTTAAATATCATTGCAGTTAATTTAAAATAGCAGTTAATTTGCAGTTAATTTAATTGCAGTTAATTTAAAATAGAATTTTAAACATATTTTTAATTAATTTTCATACCTTTGTCATTTAAAATGAACTAGTAATTAATTACGACACGACACATTTTTCATGAGAGTTAATTCTGAATTTTAATCGCGCCCGAAATTTTATCTTTTATATTCAACCGGAAGTACTCCTTTAAACAAGTTGAGAAATAAATTACACAACGCCCTATTGTAACTTCGATACAGTATAGAAAGGCTCGATTGTTTCACATAGAATCTACTTTTGTTATTCACTCAGGCGATATAGAACCAAATAATTTTCTTTCGAACAATACGTAATTAATTAATAATAATAATTGCCTAAACCAAACAAATTTTATACGCATAATAATAACATGATTAGGTCGATAGGAAACTTTGAACCGTATAAAGAAATAATGAGGATTTAAATATAATTCAGGTATTACCATAATCCACATCTAAATCATAGTCAATATCCAATAACAGTTTATTATTGTTGAGTTTTAATTACAATACCGGTTCTTATCAAGTTGGAAAATATTAATAGATGTTTTGATAATGGAAAACTATGTAGTAATTAGTTATAATTCTATTAAAAAATTGAATACCTTGATGGTTAGCAAGTTATTAAAATATTTATAAATGTTAAAGTAAATTTACAAAATTATATTAAATGATTGTGTTTTTTAAACACGATACAATATTTTCGTTTTGTTTACGTGCAAAAATTCATGTATCTACGAAGAATATATTTCATAATTTGCAAAATAGTACAAGGAGATGCAAGTTGGAACGTATGTATCTTAACAGAATTTCTGCGAATCCGGATATTACAAGATTTACCTACATTACAGGATGCACTTCTTGCGTGATATGACGTCACTTCCATAACTACACTATCATGACGAGGTTAGACGCGAAGCGGGTAGTGTATAATATATCATCGCGAAAGAAAGGTAATTGTTAATTTAAAAGTTGTCAAGCTGAATTATTAAAAAGGTAGGTTTGATAATTACAAATAGTATTTTTTTTATATTAAAAAAATCCTTTAAATTAGCATTAAAACGATCGATATAGAAATATCGATTACCAAATCAAAGTTTATTCCAATTAAAATTCAAAAATAATATTTCACGTGCTTTGTTAATTATTTAAATAAGAATAGGCCTATGTTGTTGATCATTTTTTACAAAAATATGAAATTTGATAAATTTAAATGTGTCAATGTTATTTGACGATGCCTTTCCTTATTGAATTTAACCTATCCTCTTGCAAAGTTATTGAACCATTTTTATTTAGGAATAAAAATAAATCTAATTTAATTCTTTTGAACACTTTAATCAATAAACATTTAACATTTATATAAATTAAATTATTTATAATAGATTGATTTGGTTTTTTTTAAATTAATATTATTCATAATTTTATTAAATATTTATTTTTTATCGTTAAATAATAGCGTTCATTTAGCTGTATTGTTAGTCATATTATTCAGTTTTAATGCTATTTAAGATTATATTTTTTTTATCTTAATTATAGTACAGTAGTTTGTCATTTATTATATCCATTTCCTAATTTTACTACACATAATTAGTAAACTACGGAAAAATTGATAATCAATAACTTATAGAACTTTACCACATAATTTCGTAACTATGGTGACTTGACAAAAAATATCTACTACTGCCAATACATATCAATTGCCACGAATATCACGCATCAAGCCAGTGTTTCTATAGCCTATAGGTGACTATTGTAAGACTTCGTTGATGTAATTTAATAGCATTTTACCTTTATTAATTAAGAATTATGGAAAGATAAGTAAGCTGTTTTTCTTATTTTTAATTATCATAAGATGTAATAAATATTTTCAACAAATTTGTTGCATTATACTGTAAAACAAATACATAGTTAAAAGATATTAAATAACATTTTTATTATTTGATATGTTATGTTATTCAACTACCGGTACTTATTTTTAAAAGAAGGAATAAAAATCAATTTTATTAATTAAAACAGTTTTTTTTTAAATAAAAGTTATCTTTAATGACTATTATATAATATATTGTAATCTTAGTTTTTACTTATTATAAAGTATTCATTAAAATTAAAACATAATACAAAATAACTTCTATCTTTTAATTAATACAGAAAAATCAAAATATTAATCTTTTATATTAAAGTCATAAGATAAAGAAATAATATTTTAAGTTCATATTATTTTATTTTTTTATCCTTTTCATATTTAGAATTCATTCATTAGAACATTTTTTTAAACCTTAAGTATGCTTTTTCTTGGTATTTTCCATCATTAATCATTCCTCGAAATATATTTTCCCAAATTAAACGCAAGTTGTACACAATTACTACGAGTAATAACATAATTATCATTCTTTTTTCAATTATTATTATTATTATCATCATTATTATATATCTTTAATAGTTATAATTACTAATGTTAGCATAATTAATATCTAAATATAAAATTATATTTGGGATTGAATAATAAAATTTAATGTTTTTTATATTTATCATTTACAAATAAATCAAATAAGAAGCTAATAGGGCCTACTCTTATTTAACTTATAATGATTAATATACTGTATATTGTTAAGTGCTATTTGCATACTTGCAAGTAAGAGAAATTAGATTACAAAAATATTTCGTTAAAATAAGAAGTGATGTAAATATAATATTTTAAATATTTAAAATTTTTGCAATAAATTTATACACTTAGCTTATAATATAGCCTACTGTTAGAAATTACTTTAAGTAATGCTTTCATAGTTAAAACTTTGTTACTGTAATTTAATAACATCTTTCTTCATTAATAAAAAAACTATGCAAATCAATGTATATCATTTTTAAGTAATAGTAATGATATACAAAAATCAAAATTAGCATTCTTAATTAATTTATACTTATTATTGTAGAATATATCCTAACAATGTAATCTGCAATATTTAAGTTAAGAATATCTTATAAATCCAACGTTTAACATAAGAAAAAATATGATTTTCTTTTGCAAGAATTGTATTGTAATAATCTTATATTCAACAAATATATTAGAAATCGATGCTGAATAATATCGATTTGACTTTAGAAAATACCAGTTATGCAAGCGCTATTGAAAACAATAATTCCTTTTCATTATATAAGTATGTGATGCATTTCTTGGTTATAAAATTTAGGTACGATTTAAATAAAGTTTAACAGGCTTTACACCCTAAACATATAAATAATTAATTCAAAACATTCATTTTAGGTTAAAATAAGATTTATATAAGAAAGAATAATTATCTATAGTATTTATATTAACCTCAAATTTCAAATTTTATTTATGTATTTTTAGCAGCACTTTTGATTTAATTTTTTAATTAAAATAATGGAAATTTTCTTTTTATAAAAAATTGTTTTTATCGGAATTTTTACTCAAAATTGAAATTTCTTCAACTAAAACCAACTAACAATATATTTAATTTATATAATAAAATTACGGGTTCAAATTTTATAATGTAGTCGGCTTTAATGAAAATAAATCAATTTAGTGTCTGTTTGTATTAAACAACTTTTACCAGTTATTGAGAAATAAAATTACACGGTAAATTGAAATCTATGATTTCATAATTCCCTGTAAATGCACGCTTAAACGATTTTAATCAAGGAAAGAAAAGTAAAGAGCAAATTTTATCAACAATTTTAATGTAATTATGATTTATGAATGTTTTCCACATCCATTAAAATTTTCAAAATAAGATGATAGGATACATCAACGCGTGACTGGGATATCCGACCTACAATAAAATTTGTTCATAGATTTAATCATACCTATATATTTTTAAATATAAATTTAAATAAACATAGTAATTATTGAAACTAAATCAATCTTCATTTGATATTCAATAGTTTAGAACGTAAGATTAAAATGGCAAAATATGGCTTCATATCTTGCATATCTATCGCATAAATATTACATGAGCTGCAGTATGGTAATGGTCACGTTGTATTTAATTTTCTTTTTCTTTTTTTTTCACAGTTACAAGTCACGCGATATAATATAAGTATTAACAGCTTGGTAAATTGTACGTAATGCAGATATTTAGATAGAGAAACTTTGCAGATGGAAATATATCATTATATGTCGAAATACGAAAATTAGGCTATATATTTTAATGAATACTATTAATTGTAATGTGTTAATGATTATTATTTACATTTTTTTAACTATAACTTACATAAGTAATTACGTAAATTTCCAAGAAATTGAAAAAAGTTCAATCTTATTTACAATAAGAAGGAAAGAACTTATCATCTGTGAATCTATCGATTCAAACGAATATAAAGGAAATTTGAAATTCCCTTTTCTCTTATCGCCTATAATTATATACATGTAAGGGGATTTTTATATTTATATTTAGATTTTTAGTTCTGTCGAATTCATAAATTAGAAAACACTTTACTTGCACACAACTATATTATTATTATTTTTTTCTTATCTATAAAATAACTTCAAATATTAGTTTATCTAGTTTTATCAAATCCATAAAAATTTTCCATTGAAGTAAAAATATTTTTATTTACACGAATCTTTAATACCAAACTATAATAAATATCAATTTAAAGTATATAAACTTTGAATTGTAAAATCGTGTGTTATATTTATACTATTTCACTATAAAATTAGAGTAACAAAAATTGAAATGTGTGTATAAATAGAGAGCAATATATTTTAGCAACTTTTCATTTTTAAATTTGTCTACTGAGAATAAGGGAATTTTTCTAGAAATTCTCAAAATTGCTATAGAATAATCTACCTAAATTAAAAAAAAAAAAATACCGTATCAAATTAGTTTTCTTGACAATAATTTTATTTTTACAATTTTACTAGTGAGTGAGTACGTATTTTTTTAACCCATTAAATGCTATTTTAGGACAGAAATATTTTGCTCTAATAAAACTAGAAATAGCGTAAGATATATCAAAATTAGGACACACAATAAAAATATAGGTGTATAATACGATAATGCAGCTGAATCTCATCCAAAAATATTTAACAGTAGTAATGGCGATGCCATGTTTTTTTGAAATTAAAAATGATAAAAAAATATATTTATTTTATATTTTAAAATATTATAATATAAAATAAATATATTTTTTTAATCACTTTTTTATATTTTTTAAAGTTTTATATAAGAAAATTATAATAAATGTAAAATCTATTTCGAATAATTTACTAATACTAAGAGAGCACTATTTAGAATTCTTCATGCTTGGATTATAGAGTATTGTAATTTAATAAATTGAAAAATAATGAATAAAAACAATTATTAAAAACTAAATTTATTTACCGAGTTTTGTAAAATCATTGAATGCAACTTTTCTTTTCTCGTCTACTAAACAATGTTATAATCGATTAAAATCGATTTAATGGCTAATATACTTTAGCAAATTTTTGAAATTGTAACGAGTTTCAAAAGCAAAACATATCTCATTCGTAAAGTTTACAAAAGTTAATTTAATTAAAATTATTTTTTCTTATTAATAACATATTTTTATTTTGTCATCCATAAAAATTTTTTATGATAAAAATAAAAAAATATGAAAATGTTGCTGATACTTCTGATCTAGATAAACAAAAAAGCTGAGATGACGATATTTTTTTAAAAGAAAACACCCTCGTTTAACTAAAATTAGGCTAATATTAACGCGTAATACAGTACTTTTAATTGTAATTGTTAATTATTGAATGGAAATAAATTATTATCAATTACTTTAAAAAACATATTTCTCTTAGTAATGAAAAAGTAATGAATAGTATACTTTTGCTAACTTATGGAACCTAACCCCATGTTTTGCGTTAATCCTTGTGCCGTGTTATGTAAATTCGTATAGTACGAATTCGCATAACACGGCACTTTTTCGGAACGTAACTATCGTGTTTTACGATGGATACCTGTATATATTCATTGAATATTACTCATTATAAATTATTTCCTAAAAATTGTAATAAGCGTTTTAATATAGAATTTTCTCCGTAGTTTTAATCCATGTCATATATTTTAAGATTTAAGCATTTAAAATAAACTTTTTCCCCAGATCAACCGTGTCTACCATGACGTAAATGAAGTAACTATTATAGTGAGATAACAATCTCCGATAAACATGGGAAATCCAAGTGAAGCAGAAACCACAAATCCTGAGAATTCTTCAAATCTTCCTACCATCGACGGAAGTGAAGTAGTGTTAAATTTAACTACTACAGTTACAGAGACAAGAACCGAAAGCGAAATCTCGACTATAGATTCTCAACAGACTTTGCAAATTAATGAAGACAGTGGAAATGAAGCAGAAACTGTGACTGAAAACAATGTTAGAAATAATAATGAAAGTGTTACAGATGAAAGGACAAGAACAAGTACAGAAAACAGGAGGCTTCGTCTTGGGACATGGCCTCATCAGATGTCCTCTTTGCTAGCTTGTTTATGCTGTACAGTGGGAATGTACAATATCAACAGGTTTTCGATCTTAGTCTACGTATATAAAGGTATCATATTTAAATTTTTATTCCATCTGAACAAACATTGAGATTTCTCATAATGCACACTTAAAAGAAAATATTAGTTTATTCTTATTTTTTTCTTTTCTAAAAGAACTTAACCGAAACATAAGCAAAATATGTGGTCCAATTCACAAGTTTCTAAATCATTTTGATCCATTTAAAAAATTCTGAGTTTAGGACTTAACATTAAAAACTTGTGAAAAATTTTTTTAAATACGCTACTAAAATTCGTGAATGAAAAATGAAACAAGCTTTATAATAACAATTTTAGGGATAAATACTAAAACATTAAAAATAATATTTACTATTGTAACAGAATATTTTAAGTTTAATTTAGTCCAAACTTCAGTGCAAAATATGAAATATTTAATAATTGTAATTACTGTATAACAGTCCTATAGCGAATGCATCACAGTGATGCTTCACTGAGAATCTACATTAAAATTCTAATAAAAGTCTATACTGTCACAAGTAAGCATGAGATAAGATAAAATTTCAAGATTTGACCTTCATATACTGGAAACACTCAAACAAAAATACTCATTACTTATTTTAACTTGAATCAAGGTTAGTGAATAGAAGTGTCAAGATTTTCAGAATTTATTTCAACTGGAAATTTTGTTTTGCACTAAACATATTTGACGAATATACTCCAATAATTATGACAATTTAATTGCGGCTGTTATTACTAGATCCGTTATAATTTAATTGTAATTGGTGACATGTTAAATTCGTGACATATAATTTGAAATCGGTTGAGTATTTGATGAACATAATTTTTTTAAAAATTATGAACAATTAGTGAACTTTCTTATTCTTTTTAACTATATTTACCTTCATTATTAATTTCCTGAAAAATTATAGAGATGCAATAGATTGCAATTTAGTAATGATAAAGTATAGTACTTCCTCATTTCCCAATAGTTTACTTTTGATAAATGCAATATCTAATAAATGCTAAAACATCCTATTCATGAAATATATATGTTACAATACAAGGCCCAATTTTAAGGTATTATCTTACAATTAAATCTACTTTTAAATTCAAATATGTTATTATATGGAATGATTTAATGCTTCATCACAATTGAGTTTCATTTCAATTTTCTCACTCATGGTCTTGAGTAATAATGATTCAGCATAATAATAAAAAAATAAAGAATATGTTAAATGTAATATTATATATTTGGTTAAATCATTTTTTGAAGTTCATTAACAAAAAATTGTGAATAAAATCTTTATATGATTTATCAAGCAAGTCTTTTATGTTAAATACATTTAATAAAGATAGATGAACAAGTAGGTTACTCATTTATCATAGATTATAAATAACATCCTCTTTCTTTTTTTACAGTAACTTTCATATTCCAATATATTATCCTATCATTTATTTTTGGAATACCGTTTCTATACTTACAAATGGCTTTGGGACAATATATGGGAACAGGAATCATAGACATGTGGTATATATCTCCAGCATTTAAAGGTAGGTTATTAAAGTTTAACAAATTAATTTTTAATAATTAGTAATCAAAATAATTATTTTATACTGTAGATTACAAAAAATAAAAAATATATTTACCTATATTTTTAAAATAATTTTACATTTACTTTGAAGTTATTTATGATAAATTGCCTTTTTATAAGTAAATACAAAATAAATTTTCACAACAATAAAAATTCTTAATGTGTCTTAATCAACAAATAACATTTTCACAATAAACGGATGTTATTTATTTATTAAAGTTCCAAGGCTAAAAAAAATCAACAGATAAAAAGGACCTTGAACAGAGTATCCAAAATGCACATTAGTTATTGTGTGAATAATCTTTAAACAATTCATTCTTTTTTAAAAGAAAATTTAATTAAATAAAATGTTTCTAATGTATAAAGAGCTTGATAATTATATATTACATCGTTATATTGATTCAAAGTCAAAAAGGACTAATGATTTGCTTGCTATCTATAGTAGGCTATGCTATTTTTTCAAACATTTGTTAACCGAATTCTTTCGGTTCAGGATCACTTGTCGCTGTTACACTATGTAGACTTTGTATCACAGTTGTTTTTAAAGTCAACAGATCAAGTTTAAATTATTTGACCTAATTTCCAAGTACTCTACAGTACATACTTGAAAAAGTTACAAGCTTGTGAAGAATACTGGAAATAATAACTAAATGTTTGAATTAAAATTATTATATATGATTATAATCAAATTGGTAAAAATGATCAAGAATGCAATAATTAGTACATTGATAACTGTAGTCTATTCATCAACTATAATTAATTCAGTTGTTCAAGGTTACCAAGATTAACAAGGTTATTAAACAAGGAGAGAAAAGTTTTAAGCAACATTAACAAGGCAAGGAGAGAAAAGTACTTTCAAGGGCGACAAAAGTTGCAAAGCATGAACTTGGAAACAGTTCAACAGCAAAGTCAAGATACATGTGGGTTGTAGACACCAGAATTGTTTACCCAAATAGGTATAGATACATGTTACACCTATTTGGATGACTTTTTTGTTTTGTCTTTTCTTTTCGGAGGTTATGACCGAATATCCAGTTAGCTTTAAACAGTCAATGACTTTACCACTAATTAGAATTTAGCATTTATGTACTGTATATGTCGTTATTTAAATAATATTCATTTGCTTAAATGGAAATTTTGGCAAATTTAGATAATCATCAGAAATAAAATTACAGTTTTAAAAACGTGAACGTACTGTATAAATATATATATATAATTCAAATACGGTATTTTAAAAATATTATCTAAATCAGAGTGCTCGAAAAAGTTATTGAATATAAATAAATTCATTTAAGTTTAAATAATGATTACATTAATTTGAAGGTAGTTGTCAACGAAGTTGATTTTAAAGTAACTTTCAAAGATAGAAATTAGTAGTTTGAAAATCAGATTAAACACATAAAACAAAAAGCAATGTCTTTGTTGTTCACTTCAGACAAAAAGAAATTATATAATAAGTACAGTATTTAACTTTGTGATATTTTTAATTTTTTCTCTCAATTGAGAAATTATGAAAACAGTACAGAAGTATTATACAGTAGAGATAAATATAACATTTATTAAATTTTCGAATGACTACTGATGTTTGACATAACTTCCAATTTATTAATTTAAGAAGATTAATCCAATATCGTAATGAACTGACTCGTCTTTTCGATTATAGTTTTAATCTGCTTTTCCTCTTAATAATTTATCGACAACGAGATTATATATTTTATGTGAAGAGAAGCATTTATTTATAAATGACTTAACAGAAATTTTNTAAATATAATATTTTAAATATTTAAAATTTTTGCAATAAATTTATACACTTAGCTTATAATATAGCCTACTGTTAGAAATTACTTTAAGTAATGCTTTCATAGTTAAAACTTTGTTACTGTAATTTAATAACATCTTTCTTCATTAATAAAAAAACTATGCAAATCAATGTATATCATTTTTAAGTAATAGTAATGATATACAAAAATCAAAATTAGCATTCTTAATTAATTTATACTTATTATTGTAGAATATATCCTAACAATGTAATCTGCAATATTTAAGTTAAGAATATCTTATAAATCCAACGTTTAACATAAGAAAAAATATGATTTTCTTTTGCAAGAATTGTATTGTAATAATCTTATATTCAACAAATATATTAGAAATCGATGCTGAATAATATCGATTTGACTTTAGAAAATACCAGTTATGCAAGCGCTATTGAAAACAATAATTCCTTTTCATTATATAAGTATGTGATGCATTTCTTGGTTATAAAATTTAGGTACGATTTAAATAAAGTTTAACAGGCTTTACACCCTAAACATATAAATAATTAATTCAAAACATTCATTTTAGGTTAAAATAAGATTTATATAAGAAAGAATAATTATCTATAGTATTTATATTAACCTCAAATTTCAAATTTTATTTATGTATTTTTAGCAGCACTTTTGATTTAATTTTTTAATTAAAATAATGGAAATTTTCTTTTTATAAAAAATTATTTTTATCGGAATTTTTACTCAAAATTGAAATTTCTTCAACTAAAACCAACTAACAATATATTTAATTTATATAATAAAATTACGGGTTCAAATTTTATAATGTAGTCGGCTTTAATGAAAATAAATCAATTTAGTGTCTGTTTGTATTAAACAACTTTTACCAGTTATTGAGAAATAAAATTACACGGTAAATTGAAATCTATGATTTCATAATTCCCTGTAAATGCACGCTTAAACGATTTTAATCAAGGAAAGAAAAGTAAAGAGCAAATTTTATCAACAATTTTAATGTAATTATGATTTATGAATGTTTTCCACATCCATTAAAATTTTCAAAATAAGATGATAGGATACATCAACGCGTGACTGGGATATCCGACCTACAATAAAATTTGTTCATAGATTTAATCATACCTATATATTTTTAAATATAAATTTAAATAAACATAGTAATTATTGAAACTAAATCAATCTTCATTTGATATTCAATAGTTTAGAACGTAAGATTAAAATGGCAAAATATGGCTTCATATCTTGCATATCTATCGCATAAATATTACATGAGCTGCAGTATGGTAATGGTCACGTTGTATTTAATTTTCTTTTTCTTTTTTTTTCACAGTTACAAGTCACGCGATATAATATAAGTATTAACAGCTTGGTAAATTGTACGTAATGCAGATATTTAGATAGAGAAACTTTGCAGATGGAAATATATCATTATATGTCGAAATACGAAAATTAGGCTATATATTTTAATGAATACTATTAATTGTAATGTGTTAATGATTATTATTTACATTTTTTTAACTATAACTTACATAAGTAATTACGTAAATTTCCAAGAAATTGAAAAAAGTTCAATCTTATTTACAATAAGAAGGAAAGAACTTATCATCTGTGAATCTATCGATTCAAACGAATATAAAGGAAATTTGAAATTCCCTTTTCTCTTATCGCCTATAATTATATACATGTAAGGGGATTTTTATATTTATATTTAGATTTTTAGTTCTGTCGAATTCATAAATTAGAAAACACTTTACTTGCACACAACTATATTATTATTATTTTTTTCTTATCTATAAAATAACTTCAAATATTAGTTTATCTAGTTTTATCAAATCCATAAAAATTTTCCATTGAAGTAAAAATATTTTTATTTACACGAATCTTTAATACCAAACTATAATAAATATCAATTTAAAGTATATAAACTTTGAATTGTAAAATCGTGTGTTATATTTATACTATTTCACTATAAAATTAGAGTAACAAAAATTGAAATGTGTGTATAAATAGAGAGCAATATATTTTAGCAACTTTTCATTTTTAAATTTGTCTACTGAGAATAAGGGAATTTTTCTAGAAATTCTCAAAATTGCTATAGAATAATCTACCTAAATTAAAAAAAAAAAAATACCGTATCAAATTAGTTTTCTTGACAATAATTTTATTTTTACAATTTTACTAGTGAGTGAGTACGTATTTTTTTAACCCATTAAATGCTATTTTAGGACAGAAATATTTTGCTCTAATAAAACTAGAAATAGCGTAAGATATATCAAAATTAGGACACACAATAAAAATATAGGTGTATAATACGATAATGCAGCTGAATCTCATCCAATAATATTTAACAGTAGTAATGGCGATGCCATGTTTTTTTGAAATTAAAAATGATAAAAAAATATATTTATTTTATATTTTAAAATATTATAATATAAAATAAATATATTTTTTAAATCACTTTTTTATATTTTTTAAAGTTTTATATAAGAAAATTATAATAAATGTAAAATCTATTTCGAATAATTTACTAATACTAAGAGAGCACTATTTAGAATTCTTCATGCTTGG